AATTGTTTTAAATTATGTTACAGTAGTTGTTATTACGAAGTGGTAACAATAGATAGCTAACTGACCCCACAGAACTTTTTACAATAATACCAAAAAGCAAGCAGCGTAACATAGAAACGGGTAATCACACTTGTTTACTTGTTGAGTATATTGACAATACAAGGAAACAAATAATAATATAATAATAAATTAATAATAATAGTGCAATATTATAATGATGTTACAAATTATATTATTATTAGAAAAGGAACTCAATAGGAACTCAAAAGGAACTTTTTCACACATTTTCAAAAAATTGAGTTTGAACATTTTTAAACTAAATTTTCTCAAAAAAAGCCTCAGATAAGCAAATTTTATTTCAGGCCTTCAACTGGTCATATAAAATCACCCCTTCTCAGTTGTACTATTGATTACAAGACACCCCATTCCAATTCTGTCAATTTAAATTAAGCAGAAATTACAATTACCCTAAAATTAAAAAGAGAGAAACTCTAAGAAAACTTAAAGAAAGAAAATTTTAATTAAAATTAAAAAGAAAGAATATTTTCGACATACCGGTTCATTCCTAATTGCGTCACGTTCAATAAGGTCCACATTAAGATCCTCGTGAATTAGGGATGTGAGTTCTATCTTCTCGCAGTTATCATTTAACTCTGGTCTGAATTCCTGTGCTAGAGAGTAACTTTCGTCATCGTCGGAGTCTATGCAGGAAAGCATCGACTCTGACGCCGAATCCAGAGACAGACAGTCCTTGCTCCGGCTGGATCTCGGAGACTTCAGCTCGTCTTCATTGCACAGCCACCATCCGCAATCATCCACGTTTAATGTTTCCTTTAGTTTCGCGTCGCGATTCCCCCTCCCCTTCAGACAAAACATGGTTAAAGTCTGCTGATGCAAATCCTCTGCACCAATGTTCGCGTTATCCTCTGGTCGACGGTATATTGAATTAAATCTGTAATTAAAGAAGAAATTACGTGCCGTGTTAATGTCGAATTCACTCTAATCCGTGCAATGGAAAGTTTAAATTGTGTGATACCCTTGTTCCTTTATTGCACGGAAAACAGAAAATAATTGCCTGGCGTCCGTTGACCAAACACAAGAAGTGCAATTTCAAAATAAATTACTACGTCACATTGAATAAATAAATAAATAATTATATTTTTAAGTAGTTGTTTCATCGAATTTATTGTTCGACAGTCGATCATATGTGTTTTGAATTATAGTAGTCGTTAATATTGTTCTTGTTCTTGTAAAACATTAAATGGCGCATGATAGACAGACATATGTCAAGTTTATTTGAATTAAGGATATGTTTGCAAGAACTTTGAAAAGAAAATATAAAAAGATATAGACGCTCAAATATTCCAAATACGAAAAAATATACAATACACTTTCTAATTTCAAATTTTCTCCGATTAAAATTAGTAGTTGATTTTCGAATCTTATAGGTATAGTTTTGCTCCATTTCTTAAACTTCGTTTCGTTTTTGAATTTTTTAAATCTTAGGTTTAACATATTCTGTCAACTGTTAGGTTATTTAGTTGTAGTTCAGAATTATTACGATTGTAAACCGTACAATTTATAGCAAATATAAATTTTTAAAGAAAAGTACACTAAAATTTCGAAATATCCAAAGCATATAATTACAACACTCTCTCCTTTTTATGACAATGCTCACGTAATACTAAATTTAATTCATTTATTTTAAATTTCGACGTTCGAAACTAAACTCCCAGACATTAGCATAAAATAACAGTAATATCATCACGTCTCCAGAACAACACAGTAATGTCACTATACCCACACAAACTCCACCAATAATTAAAAATAAAATACTCCAAATTTAACAGAAATCACATATTCTCAAATTCTGATAGAAGAATTTCGAAGGTCATTCCACCGCAATCGAAACACCACTGTACCGAATTATCACGTTATTACGGCACATGTGACTTTACCTGTCCCCAGTTATCACTAAATTTATTGTCTTCACTGACTCGGATGACGCAAATATCCCCCGCCATTTCCTTGTTTACTATTCCAAATATTATTTCACGAAAGCCCGATAAACAGCCCATTCACGTCACGCCGCGATAAAAAATAATAAAGTCGCAAAGCGTAATAAGAGCGGCGGCGTATCTCCGATCAAAGCTGTAGAAGGAATCCGACGGCGAGTGAACCATTATACGTACACTTGGTTGGCTTCGGTGTCGACGTTGGAAGACGCGATAAAGGCTTAATAATTTAAGAGCTGGCAAACTAGGCGATAATCGGACGATCTTCCGTGCGGCTCTAACGGATGCCTCCTGAACGGAACGTCTTTTCCGTGGGTCAGACTACTACTTTCCACGCGAGTTAGGGTCATCGGCGAAACCTCGTCCACGATTTCTCATACTTTTCATACCGGTTCGTCGAATCCCACGAAGCGCTGTCACTGCCGCGCTTCGACTGTCTACGAAACACCCATTTCCTTGACCACTGGTCGTCATGGGGACACTAACTTAATAATCCGGCGTCTCGCGTTCGCGTTGCCGTTAACGCGTTCGGTATCGCTACCAACGACCGCGTCGATTAATGTTAATGCAGGCCACCGCTCGCTCGTCGAACGACCTCCGTAATTTCATTCACGGTGAAATCTAATTAACCTTTTGACTGCGAACGGCTACGATAAAAGTATGGTCAGCGACGCGGGATAGTCGTGTTACGATACCTGGAAGGGTTTAGGGTGGATATCGCGGTCATTGAAACGATTTTTGCTACCCCCGATCATCGTAAATTTTTTGAAGCTTTGGGTTGTCAAAGATCATTGATGATGTTTGTTGTAGGATGAGGCAAATTGTTTTGTGTTTAACTTTTTGTTTTAGGGCCAGGTAGGGCCTTTTAACCCTTTTCTTTGTATTATTAAAGGAATTAATGGTGTAGGGTAGTACTATTTTATTTCTTTGAAGTCAAAATTCAATTTATCTTTAGTTTGTGAATATTTAACTTTTATAGTAAATGTAAACTTGTAATGAATTTAGAATTCTTTTCTTCTTTTCAATTAATCATTAAGGATAATAGAGATAATATTCCCTTTAGGGAATAATTGCAAAAAACATAGGTTCATATGTACAAGGTTATTGTACAAACAGTTTTGAAAACGCTGGAAATTTATTTCGAAAATATATAGTTATATAATAAATGTCATTTTTCTGAAAAATATATTTACCGTTTTAACTAAAATATTGCCTTAATTAATTTTGATACAAATTATACTATTAGTGCTTTGCAATATATTAGCGATCGAAGCAGTACATTATCGAATTAAATTAATAACTAAAGAAAATGAAACTGTGAAAAGGAAAATGAAGGCAAAGGAAATCGGGAAAGTATGAAAATAAAGAACGAAACGAGAAATGTGAGAAATGAAATTTTAAAATTACATTAGGCAAAGGTATATGTAACTGAAATAATTTATTATTAAATTCAGATTCATTATTACCTTCAAATGCACCTAAATTGTGAAATATAAATTAGGGTGTATGAGTTATATATAATAAATATTCGACTCAGATAAGAAATATTCATAAGTAAGATAAATTATTTTTGATCGAGACATTCACGCTACATAGTAAATATTGATATTCAACAACATTAGAGAAGTATTATGTAGAGCCCTAGATTATATTTTCCAGATAAGCTTGTACCTTCTGCATAATACGTCACTGACCGGTCTTATTAGATTAATCTGATTAACGTGTCGCGGTTGCAAGATATTCAATTATTTAATTCGAAAGCGAAACTTCTGTTACAATTTTGTCAGTTTTCATTTTCGTCTTCCTTTCCGTTTTTTTGCTTAAGGTTTGTAAAAATATTTTAACTATTTTTTAAAAATAATTCATCTTTATTTATTCGTATAAAGTATCCGTAATTTCAAAAAAGTGTAAACGACATTTTATTCACCAAATGCAATTTCATTTGAATAAAATTTTATTTATTATTTTTATCTCTTCTTTGAATAAAATGTTGCTTAACATATACTAAGTACGTACCCTTAGATATATTTCTTATTTGTAAAAGATAATTTCCTGAATTTGTGTTGTAACGGTTTTTGAAAATTTAATTTTAAAACTCAATTGTGTGTTTTTCAGGAAGCAATCTTCTTTCATTTGTTTATTTCTACTGATATTGGGCATTATTTAAATAAAATAATTTATTTGAAAAACAATAATGAATAAATTATTAATTGTTATTCTTGTTATTCATTATCTGTTGTTCATCATTTCTTATTTGCATTTGATATGTCATTTACAATGTCATTTATGTTTCTTATGTTATTATATGTAGGCTATTCAAAATAACGAATAGAAAATAATGAATAAAATAAATTCATGTATTTTCTATGAATTACAAATATATTAATCATTCGTTATTCACAAATAATAATCACATTTAATTTATTCGTCATTCTTCATTCGTTATGTTGAAAATTTTTCCAAAACTGGTTTCCGCAAGGTTATATGATATTTCTATATTTAGTATTTTTTATTACATTTAAAGATTAATTATGTTCCATTGATGTTTTTAAAGTGCCAGTTTTAGGTATAATTTAAAAAAAAGTATTATTATATTTAATAAAAAACGTGAAAATGATGTTTAAAGAATTACAAATATAAGATGTAGGTCTAAGAAACATTATTAGTGTAGTTATTTTGATGATAATCTTGTGACAGTTATATAATTGTCACTAAACTGTTTATTACAATAGAAATAAAGTTTCCGTCGTATAATTTATTGAAAGTGGAGTTGATTAAAATTATTTAATGTTTTTTGTTTTGTCTGTTGTTTTAACACGTTAATATCAAAGTATTAAAACAACAAAATTTTATTTAGTTTTATTTTACATTGTCACAACGTGGATTTTATGCGTTAATACATAAACCATGTAATGAGATACAAAATTTAATAGAAATTAATGAAAGTTTTATTTTTCAGTTAATGAATCATTTATTTATAATTTACTTTAGTTAAAGAAACTTTTTTAGCTTCGTAAGACAGTCTATTAAAATGGAAATTTGTATCAACTGCTGTAATCTGTTAATGAGATTCTTTAACGACTTCTTGAATTTCGTATTAATTTCTCTATCAAGTTGCTCTTCTTCAAGAAAAGTAGTTATTTCTTTGCAGAAAAATGAGAAAAACGCCAGGGCACACTTTTTGAGAAAGGAATTGCTTAAAAAGATAAAAGTTAATAGGTTCATTAATACTAAAGCTGATAATCAATCAAGTGCATTTTAAGAACATATTGAGCATTTAGCCTACTTTACTTTAGCGGATAGCACACTTAATTTTAATAGGGTCATCGCAAATGTAATTAACACTTATAAATGGGTACTTGGCTATTTATAATTATTTCTTAAGATATTTTATCCTTTTTATGGACAGCTTTTTATAGAAATAGAAATTTTTATTTTCTTTTTGTATAAAATCGTCTATACTGTTTATTATTAATATAATGCAATATAATAATATTAATCGTATATGTATATGCAAGAATGTCGGAGAATTACAGATACCCTTTATAACATTTAAGCTAATACGAAACACACGAAATTTAAACAGTTTGAAATTAAACGAATTTGAATATGAATTGAAAAGAAATTATTGATATCTATTATACACGTTTCATTTGATTAAAAAATCTCTTTCTGCTTCTGTGCAGTGTTTAGTCTGTAGCTGCGTAACAGATTGCGCGCAATGTATTCCAATTATCATATTCACACATTGCCGGTAAAGATAATTGAATTATACCGGATTTCAGTCGAAGCCACGAAGCTTTCCAATCGACCAAAGAAGTTTTTGTTCGATCATAGTTATATAAATCATTTTATTTATTAATGTTATTTTTACCTTTGCTATGAATTGTATAATACATCAATAACAATATTAATGGATAGTTCATATTAATGTACTAATGTTTATTTACAAATAAACTACAACCCACATCTTTTTGAATGTAGATCATTTCTAGTAGAAATGGAGGAGTATAATAGACGAGCATAATCAGAATTTTTATACACCGTCCAAGGAAATTGAAATTTAATAGACTTTGTATTGTAATGAACCAATTTTCAGACACATTTCAACATAAAACCCTTGATCTTAATTAAGCTAAAAACAGAACAAAAATTTTCGTATAGATTATTAAAATACATTTCTTTTATAATTTAATACAAATTACTACTGCGAATGTATACAATTCACAGTTTAGTAGTCCTTTCATAAACAATTTTCATATTAAACATATTTCAACTCCTTATCAGTTGCCCACGTACTTTTTACAACACACATCTTCATAACTTTTAATTAACTTTTACCTTCTCACTTTTCATATACCTGTTTCTTCTCGAAAACAGTTAAATTAAACACAACTTCTAACTATCATAATATTTTTCCCTTTATAATTCAAACATATATATTTAACTAAGCATTGTATACCTAGATCAAACATTAAAATTAAAAACACTATAACTATTTACTATCAATGTTATACCATCACTTTTATTCACACTCCAGTTTCCACTTTTCAAATAAACAAAAATTGAACTCTTGTCTCAACTTATCGTTCAATACACTTTTATTGCTGAATACGTAAGCCTGCTTTCCTTTCAGCAGGAAATAAACAATATTCAAGCGATTACACTATTATCTCCACTGTTTTCGAAGGCAATCTTTAGTGCGAGACTTCGCGAACTTCGGCGAAATTGTTTTTCACTTTCCAAATAAACAAAAATTGAACTCTTGTCTCAACTTATCATTCAATACACTTTTATTGGTGAATACGTAAGCCTGTTTTCCTTTCGGCAAAAAGTAAATAATATTCAAACGATTACACTGTTATCTCCACTGTTTCCGAAGGCAATTTTCCGCGTGAGACTTCGCGAACTTCGACGGACTTGCTTTTCACGAGAAGTCTGGCTGCCGTTGCGTTTAAACGCGTACTAAACGAAGCGACATTCTTCTTGGAGCTAGAGCATGGGTCGGGCTCACGATGAACGCTATTTGTTTTGATATAGCCCAAACAAATATGGAGATACTACTGCGGTAGACAATTCTTGCAGACTGCCTGCGTGACGCGCGTTAGCGAGAGTGCATTTCTCTGATAACACGGTGACCCTTTAACAATATTTTCTGTTTGCAATGAGTCGAAACCGGAGCCGTTTCAGCCCACGCTGATTAGGCGATGTGCAGAAGCTGTTATCTTTCAACTTATTATGACGACACGCTGAGTACACACGCTCAATGAACATTCAATTTTGCTTGCAGAAAATATCCCGGGATTACGTAAATATTTGAGCTTCAGAATTCTCGCTCGGCGAATACCAAGCAGATTCGAACTACGAATATTATATTTATATTGTATTACACTGTACTATTGCGCGTTAATCATTGTTTACTTTCGTCTGACACGGTACGCGTATTATTTATTTGTACAGATATCACTGCATGTGAAGTTTTATGCCTATTTGGAATGATGAATTTATAGTAATAATGTCGTGTTTAATACTATCTGTACCGCGACGGGTTAAATGATCGGTTTTAACCCTTTGCACTCAATTTATTTTCAATGTTGTTGGATGTAAACTTGTATTTATTTTTAGGAAGATGAATTCAACTAATTTGTAGCGGTAGAATTTAACGTTTTATATTTATTTTATTTATTATTATTATTATAAGATTTAATTTTTATAATCTTTTAAAGTGTGGTACTTTCTCAAACAATTTTCAACGTTCTATAGCAAATTTGTATTGTCATCTCTAAATGTGTAATTCTTTTTGCTTTGCTTTGGTTTTTCGTTAAACTATACCCCAGGTGCATTCGTTTTGCGTTTGACAAGTAAATACACACTTCATCTTTTGATTTTATTGCGCGCAAAATAAGAGATTTTTCAAATCAAATTCCATAGTTAACGGGTTAAGAAACAAAAACTCTATCGACTTGCACGATAATAGTATAAGAGTATAAGTAATTTCAATTAAGTTTGGTGGGTTAAAAAATATCCCTCTCAAATAATACAAAAAAAGTGGAACAATTTTAAACCCATCTAACCCCAAAGTGGTTAAATTTGATTTAACATTATTCTTATACTGTTCGATGAATCAGCTTTTTAATTTTTGTCTTTCTTCTGTTTATGTATTCACTAATAAAAATTGATCGTTTAAGTTGTTTACCTTTATTTTATAACCAGTTGTTTAGATAAGTGTATATATAGTGTAAAGAATGAATTAATATGAGAAGATAAAATTGTAATGTTATTAGTAATGAATAAAATTGAATTTATAATGTTTTGTCGATTTTAATGTGACACTTATTTAGTGATAAGATTATTCATCCTTCGACAGTGAAATATCTAAATTTTAAAATAGCTTCTGTCGAATATAAGTAATGTCATAAACTGTGTTGGTACCAAGAAATATTTATGTATATTCGGATAGAGTTATTGCAGAATTATCTTACGTCCATAACGAAATTGTTCATAGAATGTTTGAAAGAAATGCATTTATTTACGAGAGAAATGATTTACTTTCTGCTTTATATTGTCTCTGAAAGTTAATTTCAAATTAATCGTGTAACGAAATCATTGTGTGAATGATAAATACGGCAATTACTGTCATGATGAGTTTACATAGTAGATTACTGAAGATATATTTAATTAGGTAATAGTCCGTTTCAATTATATTGTATAATATGTTTAATGTACTTATACAGCATACATTATATTAAGTATTTTTTAGTATATAATATTCATTTATCTTAGCAATTAAAATTTTTAAATTTTTATCATATTAACTTAACTTTTTAATTCGTTATTGTAATGAAGGTAAATGATAAATTGAAATACAAATAATATAAAAGATATTTTAATTCTATATTATTGTTTAAATAAAATACACATTTTTTTTTATTGTCTTCATTAATTCATTTGAATACGACAGTTAAATAACATTAATGAATTGTGAAACATTTCACGTAACGTTTCAACTTTTTGTGAATGAAACACAATGATCATATCATTAAGTAAATCGATGATAAATGTTGCTATACAATTTCTGATGTTACTTATATACTTGTATATGTATATTAAATATTTTTGTTATTTTTTTAATATAAAAGATCGAGTTACAATAGACGGGACAATTTTATAGCTAACAACATTTTAAATCACAGCCATACTCTTGCCAATTTCATGATCATTGTTTCGTTTTTTAAATAGGATCATATATTTTTAGTTAGATATAAGTATGATATTATAATTAATATTAAATTAAATGTAGCTGTACACTAGAACATAATCTATGATTCATTTTGAAGTTAAAACACAATGTTGAAATCGTCAGAAGTATAACCTTTTCTTAAAACTTAAGTCTTTATTTAAAACTTTTCAAATCAGAATATCAAATATAACGAAAATATTTAGGTTGATTAAGATGAAAAATTGACGCCTTATGCACGGATTAATTCTTCAAAGGTGCATTGAGAATATTGCTTTCGGTAAAATTGAAATATTTTTGAATGACCTTATTAAAGATAAAATATTGATGGCATACATCAGCAGCGTGTATGTTTCGTAAGATTTCTTTATTCTCATATTATTCTGAAATTTCTAAAATCAATCACTGCCCGAAAATTAAGAGAAGTACCTATATAATTACAATAAAATAACCACAGGTGCTTAAGTTTTTTTAAAATAATTTCAGAAAGTAATTAATCTAAGATTTGGAAATTGAGTTTTATTAATGTAAAACTTCGGTATACTTTTAGAAAATTAACTTTTACTTCGACATTAAAATAAAAAATGAAATACGTGCTTATTAATAAAATTTGAAATAACGTCGCTTTAACAGTTTTGTTTTTTATGATCCGCGTATAAAAAATATTATATAAGGGTCATAATTATGATCCTATAATTATTATAATTTCATACAGTTGACATTTTAGGTAAATTTCTAAAATGTAGAGAATTTGTTTCAATTCTCTTCGTTACTTAACACGTTAAACGCCACGCCAGTCCCTAGGGACCGGCGTTAGACTTTTTGTTAAAAGTTAATGTAGTTTATTAAAACAGGGTAAACAGAGGTGTGGTTTGCTTTTACATTCATTGCAGAAGGTGCTAACTTTTTGTATTAAATTCTTTGACACCTTTGAACCTAATATTCGGGAATTATTATTATAACATTGAGAAAACTCCGGTTCTCAAGCCGATATTTCGGCTCGTCCGTCAGTGTGACGGCCGCGTCTGGGCCTGAACGGAACGACAAGCAAGTCGGGCTGGGCACTTAACGTGTTAAGAAAAGATAGGAGTTAAATGAAAAATCACTTCTCTTATGAATTTTAATATATTAAAAACGATATAACAGTTGTTTATTTATAACGAAATTTGATATAGTGTTTTATATGTTTATATAAATGTTATAATCGATCATATGTTTACCACTACTTTAAAAATCATTTATTATTTACTTCGATATTTACTTAGGGTTATTCTAAAGACTTTATACTAATTTTAGATAATGTTATTAATAATACTATTTTAAAAGTTTAGATCGCATTTTGAATACAGAACAATTTTGACATATATACGAGTAAAATATATAATATCTGAAAACTTATTTTATACTATTTTTATTATCCTATGGAACACAAAACCATTCCACTGTTTGTGACATATTTTTCACCAAACCAGATATGAGAGAAACAAAGAGAATTCAGTAAAAAGTTTCGATCTGCATCAGATGGAAACAGCGTATTATGTTTGTTTTGTTTGCTGTATACTATGCATGACACAAAGAACAGTTGTATAACAAAAAAAAAATTCTGTATAGAGTTGAAAGCGTAAATTACGGGAAGGTCTGTTTGTAACATTCGTCACTATGATCAGAATTTAAAGTATACTAGCCCAATTACCATTATGTCATAGTGTCTGGATTATGTCATACTAATAACTATGATCTACACTCTGTTATATAATCGTGATCAATTCCATGATTGTAAATTATTATAAATGATCATATAAAGTTTTATAAGCTATTTATTATCGAAGGAAAATAAAATTTGTTATATAATGGTATTTCTGTATTTATTTAAAATATAATACTTTAAAACAGGAAGTTTTATCGTTAGCACTCATTAAAAAACAAAAGTAATGTCCTCAAACTATCTGTAGATTGAAAAATAGCGTAGTAAATATAAACATCTTCCAAGTGTACAATATTGAAAACTATTATATAACAACGTAGTGCATTCTTTCGATAACGACTTTTTAA